TTTTTTGGGGGGGTGGGCGGGGAGAAGGGGCTGCCCTTCTCAAGTTGGCCAGCAGGCGTCACTGTTGATTTGTAACTTGCCCAAAGAGAGGTAATAAAGAGAATAAAGGGGATAAAATTGATCCCAGCTGAAGCCGAAGCAGGTCCGAGACATTCGTGGTAAGGAAGATTTCTTGAGTTGCTGCCCAACCAGCCCTGCTCCTCAGCAGGAAGGAGTAAGATCCAACAGGGATACAAGCAGGGGTTGACTATGCTGTGAAAAAAACAACAACTCATTGATATTTGGAGGAAAAACCTACAATAAATAAATGTCCTGTGGAGAATGCCCAAATTCTTGTGTTCTTTGCTTCTCTGTCTTCTAAGCTGGTTTCTTTCTTGCCGGGCAAAAGGGCCCTCTGACTTGCAAAGAGGATATTCCCTTTTTTTCACCTCTCACCCTGCTGGGGGAACAAAGACCACGTGAACGTGTGAATAGCCACGGTGCCTTAGTGGTTGGCACGGCGAATGACCGAATTTACAGAAGATGGAATTTTTCCGCGTGCTTTTGAGTTTGTCTTCTAGAAACAGATAACAACGCTGGCGAAGACGCGCAGTGCAGCCCTCCTTAAGTTTTCCATTTCCATAAATGTCACCCAATTCAGTTAGCAACTTAAATGCATTCCGTGCAGCTAAGCACGTGTGACTCCTCTTTGCAAGAGACATTCTCAGTTTTTGCCTGGGGAGGGCCTTAGTTTTGCTCAGATGATGGAGATATAACTCAGAAGGGGAACATGGGGCGATCGTATTTGAACGCCACTGGGGTTTTGCTCCACAAGAAACCACTGACTTCGTGCAAACGGGAAGAATCTAATTTGGTTTGCAAACGTTTCCTTCAAGAGGCCACGGAATGGCCACGTCCTGCTGGGTTCATCCAGTGATTCCAACTGTGGTTTAAACATGGCTTGCTTGATAAACCGGAATTCTCAGGTCATTGAACCTGTTAACGTGGGAATATTAAATTTGGGGAAGGATTTGCTAAGACAGTTAAAAACGGGTTCTTAACTGGTGTCCCTGGATCCCTTGGGGGCCCATGGATAGATTTCAGGGCATCTGTGAACTTGGATGGGGAAAAAAAAACACTTTATTTTCACTAACCTCCAACTGAAACGTACACTAACTTGTTATTGATTTAACGGAACAGCGAAGAATCACATACTGTATTCTATATTTGTTATACTTTAATGTTTTGATAACAGTATCTGAGCTTATTTGGTTTCCTTTGTAATACAATCTATATTTTATTTTACACATTTAAATACATTTTTCTGAGAAGGGCCTGTGGTAGAAAAAGATTAAGCACCCTTGATTTAAAAGGAGACTTGGGCCAGGATTGAAAGATTAGGTGGGTGAGGAGGGCTTGCATGCAGGAGAACATACATTCTGGTGGACGGAGCAGAGACCTGATTCAAAACTGACTTTCGAATTTTGCAAAAGCCTGCAGGGGTAGGAGAGCGTTGCAAAGTTCAGATGAACCAACCACGGGCAAATCTTGGATCTCAGGCCATGGTGGAAGGTGCAAGAGAGTCAAATTCTTTTTTAAAAAATGGCCTTTGGGCACCTACCTTGTGTAAAATGCTGTGATATTGCAAAAACGTTTTGTTCTGTCCTAGCAAACGTCTTCCTCAAGTTTTGGTGATCACATGGAGAGACCCAGGTCATTTTCTTAGCAACTTTGGAAGCGGGTTGCCATTGCTTTTGAGGATGATTTGCAACCTGCCAGTCACAGTCTACAACCCTTGGATATCTGCCACACAAGAACTCCCGCTCCGGAAATCCCTAAATATTTACTATGAGAACACCCCCCACCTCCACCCCTCGTGGGTATCTAAGCTGATGCGTTGAACTTCAGTTTCCATAGTTGCTAATGACGGCAGAGAACGTGCCCCGTGATCGTAAATTATCTGGTGGGCATCTTGATTTGGACGACCTGCATGAAAAGCTAGCAAACGAGGCCTGGGCTCTTGTAGGCTGGGTTCACGCAAAGTGGGACCAAACGGTAATTTACGGTGTGATGTTTTTGCACAAGCCTGGGCCGTTGGGTTAACTGGGTAACCTAGTTGGCTCAACTGTAA